ATTTTTTGCTTGTGAGCTATACCAAAGTCAGCTGTGGGCTGGCAGTAGTTTTCCTGAGTGTTTGTCCTTAGAAATATATTACATGGAGAGTTTTGTGGGTTCTGAAATTTACCCATTATTTTCGATACACGTAGAAGCGGGAATGAATACTTAGCAATAAAAATATGTGACAAGCTGTGGGTACCCTCATATCCTGGAGGACGCTCTCTGTCTCCGTGCCCCTACTTCCCCTGTGGCAGTTACTCATATGTTTAAAAGGAGAATTTTGTGATTTCTTGTTAAGTTTTTGGAGTTTGTGTTTATGCTAAACAAAATGTCATTCTGATGAATTTCTTTTGACAGTTATGTGGAAGCAAGTGGTCATATAGCAAATTCATGCCCAAAGGCAGGAGAAAGTGAGACATGGCATTGGCTTGTCTTCTCTTTGCATTTATTTATTATGACATGGAGTATTTGGTGAAATTTTCATATAAGAGAATATCCTAACCAGTTTATCTATCTTTCTGAACCGTCGATTCTTAAGAAACTGCATAAGCATTTTATTTGGAAACCTGATGGGGAGAGATGTTACATTCACGTAGAAATGTAACTCAACAGGAAGTTTGCCCTTTGCTCTGCTTTATCTTTTTGCTGATTTTCTTTGAAAGATTATGCCTGGTGTTCCTCCAGATCACAGTGGTAACAACTAGCAGGCTCCCAAAAGCACCTAAGGAGAGAGACGGCCCCTGAGAATCCATCATACATTTCATACCTTTCCAGCTGCTGTTCTTAGTGATGGGGGCAAAGCCATTCAGGCACTCTGTGTCTTTTATTATACATGGAAATTGGGGCATTTCCCATCACATTTTCCCTCTTAAACTTTTACAAATCATTTTTGGGTTCAAATGCAATTGTGAATAGACAGACATAGCTTCTAGGAAAGCCGTTGGGACCCACTGAATTGTGACTGTCAGACAAAGGCATTTTGTTTAGAAGGCTTGTCCCAAAGTGGTGCTGGAGTCGGAAAGATGGGCCGCCAGCGTCTCGTTCTTTCTGCTGTGAACTAATAGGAAAGCTGATGTTTGCTGAGTGGATGTCTGTACTCACTGTCCAAACAGATCTGTGTTTGCCAACTGTGAACATATTGCTGCCTCTGTGAGGCACTCCATCATGCCTTGAATGGATCCTCTTGTGTTCAGAATTTTCTGACTCAAAGAGAGGGAGAGAGAAATATTTCTTTCAGACTTCAGCATTCACTGTAGCATCCATAGTCCCATCAGACCTTTAGAAACCGAGCATGCACCGGAGATGCTGCTTAAGGAGAGTGAGAAAAGGGCAGAGAAAAAGGAATAAAGTAAGAGACAGCCCCATTGAAATGCCTTTATTCCGACCACTTGTGGCCAAGTTTTCTTAAATAAACCAGGCTGTCTTGGCAAATAGAATTGTGAGAATATTCTTGATTTCTCCTGAGCAAAATAAAACTCTTGAGTTTCCAACTCATGGTCCATTTCTGTGCATTTATATACGTGTACAGACAAAAGTAAAAGCATATAATACATTCATAATGTGTTACTGAGTGGGTGATGGAGTTTTATTTCATCTGGATCCCTTAAGAAAAGGCTAATTGATACATAAGAAGAGGTTGTGATTACTTTATAAACTGTCTCTTAATTTTAGAGTTACAAACTTACTAAATATGAAAGGGTGAAAATGAAGTGGAATTTTTTTGTGGTCACTTTGTATAAGTTGACAATAATAGTACTTTCTGGCAAAGTCTAGTATTGGCTGTGTGAATTGAGGACAGAGCTCATGAAAAAGATTTGGCATTCCTTGCAATTACCCATTGTTTTGTGTGTTAAGTTTCAGAAACCTTGGTTGAGTGGGTGGAAAAACAACATTGCTGATATTGAAACTCAGTGAGCACATGGCATGCACAGGATACTTATCTATATTGGCCTGAGTTGCTTACTGAGTACATGTTGAACACTTACAAGCTTCGTTCGGTATTGTGGAGGAAATGGAGAGAAAGGGAAGGACAGAATACTTTTATGAGTGGAAAGGTAGTACATTTCTTTCTTTCTTTCTTTTTTTTTTTTTTTTTTTTTTTGAGATGGAGTATCGCTCTTGTTACCCAGGATGGAGCGCAACGGCACAATCTCGGCTGACCGCCACTTCTGCCTCCTGGGTTCAGGCAGTTCTCCTGCCTCACCCTCCCGAGTAGCTGGGACTACAGGCGTGCGCCACCATGCCCAGCTAATTTTTGTATTTTTAGTAGAGACGAGGTTTCACCATGTTGACCAGGATGGTCTCGATCTCTTGACCTTGTGATCCATCTGCCTCCGCCCCCCAAAGTGCTGGTATTATAGGCGTGAGCCACCGCGCCTGACCTGGAAAGGTAGATTTCTATGTATCAGTAAACTGTTGCCTGGCCTTAGTCAATGAGAATTCAATGTTGATTTAGTTACCTGGAGTAAAGGACTTTTTTGGCATAAGCCATAAAAGCTTAAAACCAGAATTACCCTCGCCACCACCAGGCTACAGTATTTACCATTTGGTTGTCTGGATATCACTTCTTATCCAGGACAAACTACTCATAGAAAAATCTAGTTCTATAAACTTATTGGTTAAAACGGAAATATAACAGGAATAGTAGGGACAGTTGGGATAGGAGATGGAATGGCAGCTGTGGTTGCCATTGATGTGATAGTCATGATTTCAGCTAGCCCAGCTGGGAAGCTAACCATGTGCCAGGCACTCTTCTAAGTATTTTATATATGGCAACCAACGTCTTCCTCAGACAGTCCCATGAAATTGATATTATTGCTTTCATCGTCTTATAGATGAGGGAACCAAGGCACAGAGAAAGGTTTATTAGCATGCCTAGGATTTTGCAACTAGTAACTTGTCAAGTGTGGAATTGAATTTAGAGGAGGTTGGCCCCGTATCTGCCACAACTACTACAGCACTGCGGCTGGCCGGGGAAGAAACCTGCATTCTCTTTGTAGACTTTTCCATTTATCTTTCCTTTATGTCTTGGAGTATGTGTGTCCTATCATATGGTTTTGGACAAGTGTTTGAAGGCCATCAAAATCCAAGTACTAGGAGGCTAAGATCAGAAAGATAATGCATTCTATAGGTAAAGGAATTTGCTCCTCTTTGTATTTATTACAGAAAGAAGTTCCACATTTAATTAATTCCTGCTTATTATTATTATAAATTGGTTGAATTACATTGTGATCTAGTAGCTAGGGCTGTGTAGCACATTTTGTTCAGAACTTAACTGAGAGCTTGGATTTAAACTTAAAGTCAACCATTATGAGGTATCTTAGTATAAAATGAGGATATTTATATGGACTTACATAAAAATATTCAATCATATATTTCTTTACGATGGTGGAATGAGAGGGGATATGTGTATATGTAAAGCTTGGAAGCAACATTTTTACCACTGGAGGGTCATAATACTATTGACTAGAGTAAGTAGCTTTTCTGTAGGGCTGTAGGGCTGGGTGAAATTGGCCATTTAAGATTATTTTTATAGGAGTTAAGTTTATTGCAGCTCATTAGTGCTATGTTTAAAAGTTACTGGTTATCTGAAATGTTGCCCTGAGTGGAAAGGGGGTCATATGGTTCCATTACTAGAGAATTAGGACCTAAAATAGTTTTGCATGAATAATGTAAATCTGTAACTTATTTCTTGGGAGCCTATCTAAAAAAAAGTTTACTTGAAAGGCCAGGCACGAAGGCTCATGCCTGTAATCCCAGCACTTTGGGAGGCCAAGGTGGGTGAATCACTTGAGCCCAGGAGTTTAGACCAGGTTGGCCAACATGGCAAAACTCCATCTCTACTTGAAAATACAAAAATTAGCTGGGCATGGTGGCGGGTGTCTGTAATCCCAGCTACTCGGGAGGCTGAGGTAGGAGAATTGCTTGAATCCAGGAGGCGGAGGTTGCCAGGAGCCGAGATTGCACCACTGCACTCCAGCCTGGGCAACAAGAGGGAAACTCCGTCTGGGGGGGAAAAAAAAGGAAGGAAGGAAAAACAGAAGTTATACTACTCTGGAGACTATCTTTTGAAAAGTGAGTTATAAAAATAAAAATAGATTACATTTGATAGTGATGTTTTTTGTAGTTTGTATAAACACTGGCTGAATTCTTAATGTTTGCACATGCTATTGAACACATGAAACCTGTCAAGATGGTTTAGTATATTGGGTTTGCTCAAAAACTAAAATTTATTCAAGTTTCTTCTTTTGAGAGAGAGATTATGACAAAGGAATAGCTTGGTTTTTGCTCCACGAATCTTTCTTTTGGCCTTTTTTGCCTTTGCTTTGCTCATTTTATATGTCTTGGACCTATCTTTTCTTTCTTTCTTTCTTTCTTTTTTTTTTTTTTTTTTTGCTTATTTTGAACCTGTTTTTGAGGGGCTCCCATACTGCAAAACCTTTGTAAGAGCTCATCATAAAAGAGGCAGCTTCACACCCGGAGAATTCCTAGTCCCAACTTTCTGAATGACACCTAAGATCACTACCTTCATTTTTTTATCTTCTAGTCAGTAATTTTCAGCAGTCTTTTCTGCTTGGTTTAGGTTTAGTCTGTAAAAGGCAAGCAGGATATTAATTTGCATGAAAACCTGGAGAAATTAGAAAACGTTTGTTGGGTATTACTTTTGCCTGATACCTACTCAAAAATAGAAATAGAAATACTTTATCATATTATTAGCACTTTCTCTGCAATCATTAATAGTAAAAATACAATGGGTATCAAATGAATAACACAGTTTACAAGGGAAAAAAGTGACCAAAGCATCCCATGGATCAGATTTGACTACGTGCTGCTTTTGTGAACTTGTGCTTTAGTGTTTTTGTTCGGGAAGTTTTGATAGGTTAGACTTCTCCAGATATATTGAAACATTAATAAATAATTGAGTAAATAGGCCGAGGTTTTATTGAGGTTTTTATGGGCTCAAGAGGGAGGATGTGTATGCTGATTGGTCCATGGGAGCCCATAGGCGGGGCTACATCTGATTGGCCAAAAGGCATCAAGGAAGTTCTCACTCGCAGTAGCAGTGGCTCGGTAACCCCAGCACTTTGGGAGGCCCAGGTGGGTGGATCTCTTGAGATGAGGAGTTCGAGACCAGTCTGACCAACATGGTGAAAGCCCATCTCTACTAAAAATACAAAATTAGCTGGGCACGGTGGCACACACCTGTAATGTCAGCTACTTGGGAGGCTGAGGCAGGAGAATCACTTGAATCTGGGAGAAGGAGGTTGCAGTGAGCCTAGATTGCGCCATTGCGCTCCAACCTGGGCAACAAGAGCAAAACTCCATCTCTAAAAATAAATACATAAAAATGAAACAATAATTTATTAAATAGATAATTTAGTAAACTTAAAGGGTTGAAATGTAGCTTAATAAAACCTTAGCCTTAACAATGCTTTCCCCAGTCACTAGTGGAAAGATTTACTTCTAATTTCCTTGTAAATCTCACTTTATAAAGCCCACACTGGAGAGCACATTTGATGATTAAGATCTGAACATTCATTTTTCTCTTTCCTACAGCTGACATTAGTAAGAATATAATATATTGTGATATGAGACCCTGGGAAAGAAAAACCAAAAGCGTGTGGTGAAGCACAAATTAAAGGAATCCGACATTTCTCCCAACTCCTGGGGACCAATAGTCATTTGAACTTTAATTTAATATGCAGTTAGAGCAATTTAATAGCTTAGGTGGACATGCTATCTACTGTCAGATTTTTCAAAAGCTGAAGAATAATACACACATTTATTTTAAGCCCTTCTCACATAGCCTTCTCCCAGAGGGTGAGCAGGTTAGGGGGCATGAGTAGATAACAAATGGAGAAGGCAGAATGTATAGTTTTAGTGGACAATATTGTTTATTTTTTTGTTTTTAAAGTTGGTATGTAATTGTTGTATGTATTGTTGGAATATATGTGATATTTTGATACTGTATACTATATGTAGTGATCAAATCAAGTTACTGTTGAGTTATCATCACAGAACCCTTTGGGTGTGGCTTTGCCAGCCAGAAACCTCTGTGACTGGTGGTGCCTCTGCTTGAGTTTGCTCATGCCTGCTGGGCTGCTTCTGCCCACTCTGCCTGGCAGGCTGTGCCCAGCTTGCACTACCGGCCCAGATCCTCACCTGTCTTGGGTGAGCCAGGCGCAGAGTAGTGAGGGGTTTAGAAGTGAGTGGGCATGGGATCTGGCCGCTGTGCACAACCAGGCATTCTGGCTGCTGCAGTGGGATGGGCAGCCCCAGGCACCAGCACAGGTGCTAGCTCTGTGCAAGGCTGCAGCTGGACCAGACATACTACAAGCGGCTTCTGCTGTGGGCACCAATGTCTGGATGAGGGGAACACCATGGTGCCTGAGATGCCGGGAACCACAGAGCCCCAAACAGGGTGTTACAGCGTGTCACAGCTCTGGCTCGGTAATCCCCGAGGTCTGGGCCCTCAGAAGGGCTGCAGCTCTTGTCTCATTCTTATTGCCTGCAGCGTGGTGTGTGGGGGTGTGGGTGGGGATTGTGTTTCAGCCCGTTTGTGTTGCAGTGCTCTCAGTCATGCTGGCCTGTGGCTCCTGGGCTGGCCCAGCTCCACCACTGCTTCCTGTTGCATGAGGCGGTCGCCTGGTGCTGGCAGCTGGTGGGAGAGCTATAGTGTTACAGCACCTTTAGCTCCCACCCACAGCTTGGCAAACTGGCCAGTGAAGTGTTACAGCTCTTTTCTTTCCCGCGCTTGGCAGGTCCTGAGTTCTTCTATGTCCAGGAAGAATGAAGTTGCATGGGCAAGTGGAGGGTGAGCAAGGCCGAGAGGAGCTTTAATGAGCAACAGAACAGCTCTCAGTGGAGAGGAGACCCTAAGTGGTTAGCTCATATCCACAGGCAGGTGATGGGTCTCCGAGTCTGGCTGAGTCTGGGGTTTTTATAGGCGCAGAGGGGAGAACATGTGTGCTGATTGGTCCATGGGTGGCCACTGGTGGGCCTGGAAACAGCACCATCCCATTGGCTGCAAGGTATCAAGGAGGTTCTCCCAGTAGCAGACTTCACTGGGAGTGGGACTCCCCAACACTGAGGCTTCAGGCCCTCCCTGGCTTAAAGGTGGGGTTTCTCCAGGGACCTACCTGCCCCTTCCTGCCTAGGAACCTATCTGCCTCCCACCACCATCAACATGCCATCCATGACGCCCAGGGTGTTTGCCCCGAGAGGTGCCTGCAGCCAGGCACCTGCAGGCCCGTGCTGAACCACCCCCAGCCCCTCGGCCTCGATCCCATGCTCATTGCTTCCCCACGTCTGGAGGGAGCTGCGGCAGCAGGGGGCTGGCATGTCAGTGCTGCCTGGAGCACACACACATCTGGCTGGGTCACGGCAATGCTCAGGCTCGGCCACAATTTTGTTCTGCAGTGGAGCGGGTGCCAGGGGCAGGGAGAGGCCAGGGAGTGGGAGCAGGCACTTCTGAGCCCACAGGAGCGCTGGGATGCCTATGTCCGGAGCTGCAGACTCCCACCCTGCCAACTTGGTAGGGCACAGGGCTCCCACTGGGATCACCTGTTCCCAGCCCCTGCCAGCTCCACGAAACACACTCCCCCACCCCCATGCAGCTGGCGTCCTTGCAGCAGGGTTCCATATGGGCTGCCACTGCTATCATTATGATACATTTTGAGAAAACAAATCATTAGATTTTTCTTAAGATTTCTGCATTTTTTCCTGTTTTTGTTTTCCTTTTGAAATGGGGTCTATGTCAGCCAGCCTGGGGTGCAGTGGCACAATCGTAGTTCACTACAGCCCCAAACTCCTGGGCCCATGCAGTTCTTCCACCTCAGCCTCCCAGGTATGCTGGGACTACAAGTGCGTGACATCATGTCTGGCTAATTTTTTATTTTAAAAACATTTTTAGAGATGGGAATCTCACTTTCTTTGCCCAGGCTGCTGTCCAACTCCTGGCATCAAGTGATCCTCCTTCCTCAGCCTCCCGAGTATCTGCGATGACAGGTGTGAGTCCCCATGTGTGGCAAGGTCTGCATCTTTGTAGTATTTTGTTGTAGCTAAACTTTTCAGACAAGTGCAAAAAAAAAAAAAAAGAAAAGATTTGCACATGAATATGCAAACGGGTATGTCTGTTGAGAAGAATAAACTAAGGCTTTAAGGAAGAAAACATTCTTTTTTTCTGGCTCAAGTGAGAGAAATAGCTCAGCTTAGAAGTTACTTGCTTTTTGGATGTGTTACCCGGATGTGTCAGCCCTATATAGAATCATTAAATCATTTTTATACACATTCTTAGTGAGTTGAGATTTTGCTACTGACACATTTGTGAAAGTTGGGATAGAAAATTAGAGTTTCTTGTTCAGTGCTTTACTACTCTGCTGTTCTAGAAACCTTTAAGTTAAAGTAACAGATTAAAATATTTCATGTGAAGAGAACTTTAAGATTTCATATGACAATATGCACACACTGAAAAACATATAACTGTTTTAATATTTTAATGATTACAAATAGTATAAAAATTACTTGTAACATAAATGTAAAAACATAGGTTTTTAAGTCTGAGTACAGTGCTGATTGGAATCGTAAGGATCTCAGTAACCTAGTATAATTCAGGATGAAGAAACAGAAATCGTGACCTTCTTCAGCTTTGAACTTGGCAGGACCGCATTTGTAGATTCTTGCCTATCTCTGCAGTGGGTTGAGTTCCTTATGGTCCACTGACCCTGGTGTAGGGAAGAAGCTGGCTGGACCTATTTCTGAATTGGACTGTGAGTAGCCCGGAGCTGTAATTTCCCACACCTTTTTGAACCTGATTTTGCAAAGGGGCATAGATAAGGTAGATTGTTAGAAGGACCCAAGGGGAATGGTTGGAAGTCATGTCATAGAAGGAGAAGGTAAAGAAAGCCCAGATAGCTTTGTCTCTAGAAGAGGGGGGCTGATGGGATTCAGTTGCCTAAGTCTGTATTTGAATCTTGTTTTATGGAATTGGGGTTACATTTAGTTTTGGCTTTTTTAGGAAGAGGGTTCCGATATCTGCCTATGAAAAAGGGAAAACCTTTACCAATGAAAATTGTTTAAAAAATGGAATTTGCTGCATTTTGAGATCATGAACTCTACATTGAAGCATTCTGCTGCTTGCTAGAAATTTTGTTCAAACCTTCAAGCCTGACATGGGGAATTAGTCTGGATGACTGTTAAGATCCCCCAGAGAATTCCAATTCTACAATCTTGGCTGTCAACTAAAGATGTTTATAAATATTTTATCAACTATTCTACCTACTTCCTGATTCTTAGATGCATATTGTTTCATATTCAACTATCACCAGGGGCCATTAATCATATAAATAAACAGCAATAATTTCATAGACTGATTCTTCGTAGAGTGCTTATTATTCTATGTTATATAAAATCCTGTGATCATTTTGTTGTTGCCGTGAAAGTATAGCAGTGGTTGCTTTATTATGACTGAAGCTGGGGGACTATTTTTAGCCAAATTATAGTCATCTTTGCCAGCTGAAGTATGTTCAATTAAATATCCATTAATAGGATAAAGTTTATGGAACTCTGCTAATGACTCTTTTTCCCTCTTTGCTTTCAAATATTGTGATGACATTAAAACTTAGCTAATTGGGCTCAAGGTAATTACAAATGAGATGTGCTTCAAGAACCTTGAATAAGCTTATTTTTTTCTACCTTCTATTTGTTTTTACTGCGTTCTTTCTAAGTCATTCTTTTGAACCGGTTCATAGCACATTTGTATCAAAACCAGTGAGGGGGTTGCCTGGGGAAGTTGGGCTGCTTGCGGGGAAAAGCAGACTCGGGAGCGCTGGAATTCTACATTTTCAAAAAGGCCTAGAAATTTTGATGTCATAGACATTTGAGGATGATAGCAGGAAGAATTTAGAAATTGTCAACTAACAGCTGGTTTCTAGAATCTGCAAGCGTAGACCTACGTGACACCAGTACCACCCAGCGTGTTACTCGAGAAGGAAGCACAAAAACTATCAGGTTTCTCCTCTTTTACTTTGCATCATGGACGATTAAGTAACTTGCGCAGGGCCATGCAGCATGAATCCTGTATCTCCACTGAGCCATTTGGTTTTGATGGGGATGGACTGAAAAGAAGAACTTGACAAAAT